GGTGGACTGTCCCAGTGCCAATCAGCAAACTGAAGGGCAAGTATATTCAGAACCAGTGCACCCTCCTCTCCCCACCCCTCCCGCCCTCACACCCCTGCTTGCCCCCCTCCCTGCCCAGGACCAGCCAAACCCCTGCTCTCCAGGGTCCCTCCCAGCATCCCCTTGGCTCCTCTAGTTCTTGCCTTTCCTCTGATTCCTAAGCCTCTATGAGAGCCAGTGGCCCGTGCCCCTGGCCCTGCCTGCAGGGTGTTCTCCAGTGTGTTCTCAGGGCCCACACCCTTTCCTTGGACCCCTCACTCTCTCTGGGAAGGCCCCTGCCTCCCCCACCTTCTCTGTCCCTCCAAGACAACTCAACAGTAGGGACAGCCTGGACGCTTCTCCGCCACCTCCCACCCAGCAGGCTCAGGTGAAGCTGGGGGAAGGGGCCAGTCCACAAAGCTTCCTCTGAGGTAGCTCTCCCTCCTCTGATCTCTAGCGGTAGCACCAGAAGCTGGCAGCCCTCCAAGAAGGGAGGCTGAAGGCTCGGAAGCCTCAGGCCAGATGCTGGGGCCAAAAGGCAGCATAGGGCAGGCCCCCAGGCCACTGAAGAGCAGGGCCAACCCTCGCCTCGTGAGTACTGACACAGGAGCTGACGCCCCGAGTCCCACAGAGGCTTGGCTGAGGCCCCTGGGCCAGCCTTGCCCTGGAATGGCTCAGCAGTATGGAAAAGGTGCCCTGGGGAAATAAAGCCAGATTTGGGGACCAGGGGCCTGGACAGGGATGGAATGCGATCTGTCTAGACCCCAAGGGCCAGCAAAGGCACTTGGAGGAAATCAGGCTGGGTATGAAACAAAGGTTCTGGCATGTGGGGTGTCTAAGCCAAGGAGACTTATGGAAGGGTGGGTAGTGAACCCCCAGGCCCTCGCAGAGAGTAAGGGGACTGAAAGAGGACAACATTACAAAGGTATCAAGAGCTGCCTCTCCCAAGGAACCCCTGGGCACATGGTGTATAGAGAGCCACAAGGGGATGTCCCCATGACCTGGAAGCAGGGGTGCCCAAGAACCCCAGGGCACCCTGTCCAGCCTAGTCCAGCAAAGGGGATAAAGAGGACAGAGCCACCCTCTGATGGCCTGCTCGGGGGTGGGGGATGTGCCCTACTCCCACTGGCTTGAGTTGTCTTTTACTCCCCACCCCCCAGCATCCCACCCAGTGACCCCAGAAATACAGGGCCCTGGTAACAATGACAACATAGCACAGTCTCCTTCCCTGCTCCTTCTCCCTCCTTCTTTTTCCTCCTCCTCCTCCTCTTCCCCCCAACCCCTTCCCCATCGGCTTGTGTCCAAACCCTGCCTCACAGTCCTATCAGAAAGGAACAGTCCAACCAGTACTGCTCAGGCCTCCAAGCACCCCAAGTGCCCCTCCCCAGAATCTTGCAGTGCATTGTGGGAGTGTTTGAGAACAGGGACAATCCCTCTTCTGTACAAATAAAGCCCTGGGGGCAAAAGAGAGCTCAGAATCTGAGTGGAGACAGCCTAAGAAGGTGGGCCACCCAGAGTGAGACAGGCCAAGAGCAGAGGGACCCCTCCCAGGTGCAGACCAGCAAGGTGGCCAGTCCAGCTGGGGAAGGAGAGGCCGCAGAGGAGCCCCAGTGGCTACATCCTCAGATTCACTCTCAAACCCATACAGAGATACACAGGTGCGCACACACACACTCACACATGCATGCTTGCTCACATACACATGTATAGCTCATAAGCCAGGACACACACCCAATTGGGTATGCCTCAACAGTAGCCCTATGCCCCCCTGGAGCCCCTAGCATCCCTCCATGGCTGCTCAGAGCCCAGACAGGTCTTAGGAAGGGTAGAGACCCGCCAGGCGTGGTGGCTCACGCCTGTAATCGTAGCACTTTGGGAGGCTGAGGTGGGTGGATCACCTGAGGTCAGGAGTTCAAGACCAGCCTGGCCATCATGGTGAAAACCCATCTTTAAAAAAAAAGAAAAGAAAAAAAAGGAAGGGTAGAGACCCAGCCTGTCTCCCCGCCCCCAGCCATGGGAAGCAGGTATGTAGATTCCAGCAGCACCCCTGTCCTCCTCCCAGCTTCCCAGACTTTCTTCCCACACTGTGGGAACAGTCCCAGGCACTTTGAGGGTCTCCCTTCACCTCCGGTCCTAGGGAGGACCAGCAGACCCCCACAATGCACTGCAGTGTACCCTCAGCTGCCCCCACCCGTCTCTGGTTGGACTGTTTGTGCCCATGAGAAACCCCCTCGGTTTGGCCATGTTGATGCCTGACACAGAACAAAAGCACGACCTACCAAAATGCAAACAGCTGTGGCAAAGAAAGAGAGATAAAAATCCGCAGCCAAAAGCCAATTCCCTTCCTAAAAGTCTCTTCGGAGGCGAAGGAAGCTCAGCATGCGGTTTTTTCCATTATGGATGTGATAAGAGCGAGACTGGCGCCTCCCCCAGACCATGCATATATATAGCAGTGTGTGTATATATATGTGTGTGTGTGTGTCTGTGTATATGTGCTATACAGCCGTATGGAAGCATATACAGCCACGCCAAGGGACTCACTGCCAACAGAGGACCAGGCCCGGGCAACATATTGGCTATAACTGCCCTCCTCCTGCGATGCTGTAGTCTCCACAGGCCCTCCACCCTCCCCACCCGTCCCTTCTCTCTGGCTCCTGAACGTGGAAGTGGCGGGTTTCCTCTTTGCTGGTGTCTCCCCCTCCCTCCAGCTCCCCTCTCCCCTGTCCTTCTAGCCCCGTCAGCTCTGAGCCCCCTGGCCTCCCGCCTCCCCAGCCCCCGCCGGATAACCCCCCGTTTCTGTTGCAGATTTTGAGTTCCTGCTCCCCAGCAGCTTTGAGTCTGAAGGACATGTTTTCATTGCTCCCAGGTAGCTTGCGTGTGGCCTTGCTGAGGTGTCCTCCCCCACCCTGACCGCCCTGGCCCCACCTCCTGCACTGCTGCCTGGAGCTCTGTGTGTCTATGTCCTGTGCAGTGTCATCCCCCAGCCCCCCTACATCGCCCGGTATGCGCGGCTGTGTGCATACCCAGGCCATGTATCACACTAGGCGGCAGTGGCCAGTGGCCTCACGTCCCTAACTCCCACCAGGCCGGGGCAGGAGGGCTCCAGACTCATCTGCTGACTTTCCCTGCCTTCCCAGGCAACCAGGCAGGAGCTCTTTCTGCCCTGGGCTGGCTATCCGAGGCATGCCCCCTCCCTGCCCCTCGCCGGGCAGCTGCTGCTCTGGTTTGTGGTGTCCTGCCCATCCTCCAACCCCGCACCCCATTGTTGTCCTGTGTCAGTCAGTGTTTGTGTGGGTCTGGGGGCCGAGCCAGCCAGAGCCCCTGTCAGCAGGCAGTGCCGGGTCTAGGCGTGGTGCTTCACTTGGGGGGTTGGGGGAGGAGGGCAGGGGCTTTGAGGAGCTGCTCCAGCAGTTGAGGAGTCGGGGCCCAGAGCAGGCCCAGGCCTGGACCATCCCAGAGTGCACATTCAGTGTGCACACACATGTCCTCTTGCACACACCCTTGCCTTTGGCCCACGTCTGGGGAGGCCAGGTGCCCTGGGTGCTGAAGCCCTTCCGTGATCCAGGCTTGGGATAAGGGCAGGTGGGTGGATGCAGCTGACAGAGACCCATGGGCACTGGAAGGCAGCACACGGGGGCTCTGGACATGCCTAACCTTCATGTGTGTGCACGTATGTGCATGCACCCAGTTTCTCTGTGACTCTCTCTGTAGATGTGTGTTTGTATTTGTGAGTCACCTTCCACATATCTAAGAGTCCGAGCATAAATGTGGGGCTCTGTGCCTTAGTGAATGTGGGAAGGTGTGAAAAGGCCCATGTGGCCCACATGACCCCAAGGAAGCTCTCTTGAGGGCAGGGACCCTATTCGTTTTTGTCACCTCTGTATCTGTGGCTTGAGAGAGCTCAATAATATGTGGTCGGTGAGTGAATGAAGCACCCCACAAATGTGAATGTGCATACTGTGTGTATAGGAGAGACTGCAGGTGAATTGGTGTATCTCAAGCACAGTCATGTGGGTGTCGCCCTGGGTGTCTCTGATGTGGCCTCTAGGCACAGAGGTGCAGGCTATACACTGCACAAAGGAGTGAGTGGGGTCTGAGACCCAGTTCCAGTGCCCTTACCAAGCCATGAGCCCTACCACAGCCTGGGGAAGTGGCACATTTTCAAAAACCGCAGTTAGTGCCATATGGGACAATGATGCAGTCCCTGGTGGCAGAGGTATGAATGACGGGTAGGGCAAGACACATAGCTCTACCTATCAGGGTAGAGTGATTGCTCCCAAGACTTCCTAGGAAGCAAGCCCCAAACAGACCCCCTCATGCCCCACAGCCCCATGTTCTCTGGACCCAGAGCCTGAACCCAGGGGCCTTGAGGGGAGGAACGTTCCAGGCAGAGGGAACAGCCAGTCTGAGGACCCACATGTTCCCACTGACTTCCTGACACCCTCTGTGGTATGACAAAAAAAGCAAGTATCAGAGAGCATGAGTGAGTCACCTAAAGGCACACAGTCAGAAAAAGGCAGGGTGGGGTCTTAAGACTCAGGCTGACAAAAGCCAGTGCTTGTACTTGGGTCCCACCTGGTGCCCACGGGAACACTCTAGGACATACAGGTGGAAGAGCCGGCTGCCAGGCACTTCCTGGGGCCTCCCAGGTGCACTATCTGGGTCCAGCTACACCGGAAAAACAGGAGGCTCTGCAGAGCCATGCCCAGGAGAAAGAAGCTGCCAGCATGGAGGAAGTAGGCCCTCATTCTTGTGTCAGCTCTGTCCCGACAGACCCCAGCAGCCTGCCAGGCATGTAGCAGCTGCAGCCAGGAAGAACCCACGTGCCCCTCCCTGAGGCCTGGGCTTCTCAGTGAATGGACAGGTGGGCCTGTTGGGAAGCCTTGACCCCACTGCCCTGTCCAGCCCCCCAAGGCCACTCTTCTTGCCCCTCCCCACCCCTAGAGAGTACTGCAAGGACCTGAACACCTCAGACAACAACACCGAGTTCCTGAAAAACTTTATTGAGCTCATGGAGAAAGTGACTCCAGACTCCAAGCAGTGTGAGTGCCTGACAGGGCAGCTGGATGTGGGCAGTGCCCAGGCAGCATGGGGTCAGCCCAAAGGAACCCAGAGACCGGGCAGGTGTGGAAATAAGCAGGCCCAAGCCAAAGGCTGGGCCCGGGCCAGGTCATGGGGGAGACTCCTGGTGGAGCCTTGAGGGTAGGGGTGAGGGTAGACAGGGAGCTACAGGAAGACGCCCCCTGCAGCCCTACCCTCCTGTTCCAGGCAACAACTTCCTTCTGCACAACCTGATCTTGGACACCGGCATCACGCAGCAGCTAGTAGAGCGTGTGTGGAGGGACCAGGATCTCAACACGTAGGCATCACCCAGCCTGTGGGGGCAGGAGGCTGGGATGGGCCCAGAGGCCCTGGCCCTGCCCAGCACAAGGCAGGCCTGTGACCCCACCCCCGACCACCCCCAGGTACAGCCTACTGGCCGTGTTCGCTGCCACAGATGGCGGCATCACCCGAGTCTTCCCCAACAAGTGAGTGACCTACCCCACTACCCAAACCCTTTCCCTGCCAGGGAACCTGCATCTGTTCTTCCCAATGTCACTGACAGCCACCCCTTCCCCACCAATCTTCCTCTCTTGGGTGCCCAGGGCAGCTGAGGACTGGACAGAGAACCCTGAGCCCTTCAATGCCAGCTTCTACCGCCGCAGCCTGGATAACCACGGTTATGTCTTCAAGCCCCCACACCAGGATAGTGAGTATCCCCCCCAAGTGTGCCCAGCAGCACGCAGGGAGCCTCAGCTTCCCTATCTGTTCAGCCAGAACTGGGCTCTGCTCTCTGAGGCCCCTCCCTAATGCAAGGCTGGCTGAGGCCAGGGCAGACATGAAGAGAGGGATAGACTGTGCCAAACACTATCCCGAGTGCTGGGTGCTTGGGCTGGAGTCATCCCTGGGTTGGGCTCTTGGGCTTGTAGGACCCAGCATAGAGTGGTCAGTGTGGAGGCCAGACGCCACTCCTGACTTCCCCACCCAACCCCCAGCCCTGTTAAGGCCGCTAGAACTGGAGAATGACACCGTGGGCATCCTCGTCAGCACAGCTGTGGAGCTCAGCCTAGGCAGGCGCACACTGAGGCCAGCAGGTGAATGCTTGGGATGGAGGCGGGGGAAAGAGGCAATGGACAGGGTACTGCCTGAGCAGGTAGCACTGATGGTCCCTTGCTCTCCCCCAAAGTGGTAGGCGTCAAGCTGGACCTAGAGGCTTGGGCTGAGAAGTTCAAGGTGCTAGCCAGCAACCGTACCCACCAAGACCAGCCTCAGAAGGTATTTGGGCAGGGGAGGGGGCAATAACCCAGCAGTGCCCTTTCTGGAGTCCGCTGGAACCCCTACCAACCCTCCACTCAGTGGCTCCAACACCTACGCAGAGGCAGGGGTAGCTGCAGATGGCCTGGGTACCCAGATGTATGAAAGGTGATGGGAGGGAGGAAAACTGGTAGGTGGCTTACGGTCCTCACTCTCTGCCCAGCAGTGCGGCCCCAGCAGCCACTGTGAGATGGACTGCGAGGTTAACAATGAGGTGTGTGCGCCCTGAACCTACCCTGGACTCTAGCTTACCCCACTTCCCCACTTCCTAGTCCCAGCTGCAACTCCTAGCACATCCTGTGGGTCTCAACATCCTCATCCTGTGGGTCTCAACATCCCCACCCTGACTTCACAGCCTTCCCAGGACTGGGGGAGTGATGCCCCCCAACTGTGAACCACTAGACTGCCTGAGGTGGAAGGTCTGAGGCCCAGACCCTCTCCATTTTCCTCCCCATTCCCTACCTCTTAGGACCTACTCTGTGTCCTCATTGACGATGGAGGATTCCTGGTGCTGTCAAACCAGAACCATCAGTGGGACCAGGTGAGGATCAGGAACAACGTGAAAGAAGAGGGTAGGGATTTGAGCTTTCTGGGGGCGTAGCACTGCCAGCCCTGTGACTGTGGCTTTCTCCTGGCATCCCCAGGTGGGCAGGTTCTTCAGTGAGGTGGATGCCAACCTGATGCTGGCTCTCTACAATAACTCCTTCTACACCCGCAAGGAATCCTATGACTATCAGGCAGCCTGTGCCCCTCAGCCCCCTGGCAACCTGGGTGCTGCACCCCGGGGCGTCTTTGTGGTGAGTCCCCAGAGATGCCTGGCCTGGAGATGGGGGGGACTGGGATACCTGCCCACAGATGACCCCCTACCTCTGACATTTGATAGAGCTGGGGGTGACCTAGGGCGAGGGGCAGCAGTGGCAGTTCACGCCCCTCTCTCTACTACAGCCCACCATTGCAGACTTCCTTAACCTGGCCTGGTGGACCTCTGCTGCCACCTGGTGAGTCCTGAGCGGGAGGTGGGTAGAGAAGGTGCTCCCTGGCCGGGAGGGCTCAGAAGAGAAACAGGGCATGGCATCGTCCTCTGCTAACCACCTGCACTCGGCTCCCCTGCCCTGCAGGTCCCTGTTCCAGCAGCTTCTGTACGGCCTCATCTACCACAGCTGGTTCCAAGCAGGTAGGTAGGGCTTTGGAGGCGCCTCCTCACGAGCGAAGACGACTCCTTGGGGAGGGCGGGACCTATGGCTGAGCGAGGCCGAGGCCGGAGACCTCGCCAGGGTCTGTGGGCGGAGCTGAGGCGCTCTGGGCCCTCGCAGACGCCGCGGAGGCCGAGGGGAGCCCCGAGACGCGCGAGAGCAGCTGCGTCATGAAACAGACCCAATACTACTTCGGCTCGGTAAACGCCTCCTACAACGCCATCATCGACTGTGGAAACTGCTCCAGGTGCTGGGAGTGGGGCGGGACCAGAGGCCGAGGGCGGGGAATATGGGCGGGGCGAGACGCTCGGGAGAACGGAAGGGGCGGGGCCTCCGGGCGGCCGGGGCCGGGACGAGCTCAACGCCCCGCCTTTCCGCGCTGCGTGCAGGCTGTTCCACGCGCAGAGACTGACCAACACCAACCTTCTCTTCGTGGTGGCCGAGAAGCCGCTGTGCAGCCAGTGTGAGGCTGGCCGGCTGCTGCAGAAGGAGACACACTGTATCCTGCCCCCGCCCTCCCCGCCGCCCGCGCCCCCTCCTGCCCCGCGCGCTCCCCTCCTTGCCGCCGCCTCCTTGACTCCCCACCCATGCCCAGCGGACGGCCCCGAGCAGTGTGAGCTGGTGCAGAGACCGCGATACCGGAGAGGCCCTCACATCTGCTTCGACTACAACGCGACGGTGAGGAGGGGGGTGGCGGACCTGAAATCCCGAGGCCTTGCGCCCGCCCAGGCCGACCAGCTCCTTGTCTCTCCCCGCAGGAAGATACCTCAGACTGTGGCCGTGGGGCCTCCTTCCCGCCGTCGCTGGGCGTCCTGGTCTCCCTGCAGCTGCTGCTTCTCCTGGGCCTGCCGCCCCGGCCGCAGCCTCAAGTCCAAGTCCACGCCTCTCGCCGCCTCTGAGCGCCCCGCTCCACCCCCCCTCCACTCCCAACCTACCCCACCCGGCCTCTTCCCCTTCCCCACCGTCCCGCTCCACACTCCCCGCCTTAGAGCCTCGTCCCTCCCTCACTGAAGGACCTGAGCTGGCCAGGCCCTGAGAGTCTGGTCTGCGCCTTAGAATGGGGATTCCCAAAGCGGGACCCGGCAGGTCTTTGGCACTTAAACCACGTCGCACTTCCGAACTGTTCAAGTGTCCCCAGGCCCTTCATCCCTGCTGGGCTCACCCCAGTGGGATGGGACAGGGAGGCCACACGCACTGGTGCCAAAACCAGGCCTCTGCTGCTGCCCTGCCAGGAGGCTTCCTATGTGCGGGGGGACCCTGTCTCAGCTGGACTCCTGACCTGGCCTCTCTGCCCCACCCAAGCCCAAACCTGATTTCTATGAGAATAGTGGAGGAAGGTGAGACGGTCAGTTTGAGGCCTGTGCCTCCCAGCTTAAATCCTAGCAGGAGAGAGGCCCTGGGGCAGTCCCCATGGGCTGCTGCCCCTCTCAGGCCTACGGCCACATCTCCAAGCCCAGCAGGTGTCAGGATAGTCACAGTGGTACCAGTTTAGACACTACCCCATATACACCTGGAACCTTGAGGACAGAAACTGGACTCATACATACCCCACTGGGCACACGCACAAACACACACACCATGGGTTGGATGGGGGTAGGGGCTTACAAAGCCTTACAGAGGGCGAGGGGTTGGTGGGAGGGTTGGCACCTGCACATTCCATCTCCTGCTTACACCTGCCTCTAACCTGAGCTGCAGCCTGGCTGGCCCTCCCACCTCTAAAGCTGAATGTCAAACAGTGCCAAATGCTGGGGCAGGGGGTGAAGAACCCTGTGTCCCACCCTTAGCCACCAGTGTCCTCCAAATGCCCCTCACCTTTCCAGGTGCTCATTGTAACCATTTCTCACTAGTGTCAGGCCCCCAGTGGGACCATATACCACTGCCTGCACCTGTCGGCAGAGGAACCCCCACCAGACATCACCCTTTGCCTTAGCAGGGGTGACTTTGTCTCTCCTGGCTGGGCCATCCTTCCCCCAGTCTGGCCCTTACACACTCAGGCCTGTGCCACTCCCTGTCCTCCCACACACACACTTCCTGCTCTTAGGAGGCCAAACTGCCCCTCCCTGCTAAACGCACGCGCGCGCACACACACACACACACACACACACACACAGAGGTGGGGCCTGGGCACAGCTCTTCACACCATTCATTATAGTCATTTCCCCCAAAGGCATCCCAGCCTGGGGGCCAGTGGGGAACTGAGGGCAAGGGGATGTAGCGATGGGGCTCAGATGGACTGGGAGGAGGGGGGAGGGTGATGCATTAATTAATGGCTTCGTTAATTAATGTCACATTGCTTGTCGCTTTCTCAGTGTGTGTGTATGGTCCATGCCCGTTGCTGGTGCCAGGGTGGGTGTCCATGATGTGCACCTGGCCTGGATGCCAGCTGTGTCCTTTAGGGGCGTGTGTGTAACTGTAGTGTAGTCAGGTGCTCAATGGAGAATATAAAAATAAAGAAACATATACAGAAAAATAAATATATATTTTAAGTTTAAAAAACAGAAAAACAGACAAAACAATCCCCATCAGGTAGCTGTCCAACCCCCAGCTGGGTCTAATCCTTCTCATTACCCACCCGACCTGGCTGCCCCTCATCTTGGGCTGGGGGCCATTTCCTTTTCTCTGCCCTTTTTTTGTTGTTCTATTTTGTACAGACAAGTCGGAAAAACAACAGCGACAAACAAGTCAAGAAACTTTGTAAAATATCGTGTGTGTGATTCCTTGTAAAATATTTTCAAATGGTTTATTACAGAAGATCAGTTATTAAATAATGTTCATATTTTCACTTCAAATGGTTCCCATCCACTGTATCTGCCTGGGGGTGAGGACTGGGTAGGTATGAAGACAGTTGGCCAAGACCTCAGAGTCCCACTTACTGTTCTGCTGGGGGGTGAAGACCATGGTAGCCCAGGCCTCTGGCAGCCATAGATTCGGTATGACCCTTGCTTCTACCAGTTAGTTGCCAGGTCCTTGACATAATTTGTCTCATATCTCCTCAAAAAGCTGTCTTTTAAAAACAAGCAAAACAGGCTGGGCACAGTGGCTCACACCTGTAATCCCAGCACCTAGGCTGAGGCAGGCGGATCACTTGAGGTCAGGAGTTTGAGACCAGCCTGGCCAACATGGTGAAACCCCATCTCTACTAAAAATTTTTAAAAATTAGCCAGGCATGGTGGCGGCACCTGTAATCCCAGCTATTTTGGAGGCTGAGGCAGAGGTTGCAATGAGCCAAGATCACATCACTGCACTCCAGCCTGGGCAACAGAGCGAGACTCCATCTCAAAAATAAATAAAAACAAGCAAAACAAACACCCTCCCAGAGCCTGAAAGCCAGGACCCTGGAGGAAAGAAGACCGATCAGAGATGCTGGTTTAGTGCGAAGGTGAATCTGGCAGTCTGATCAGACCACCAGGGCCTGACAGACAGGTCCTCTGCCTGGAGCTATGAGTCAACACCTGACCAGCGTCCCTACCGGGTGCTGGAGGGCCCAGTCCTGCTGTCCCAAGAAGCCCTGACCACAAGTGCAACAACGGCTCCTTCCTGGCCCAGAGGAGCCTGAGGCCACAGCTGCTTACACTGGAGCTGTAGGCCGACTCCATTTTTTGTGAATCCTCTCAAGCTTAGGCCCTAGTTCATTTTCAACGTAGTCAGTGTGACCTTTTCAATCTTCTCATGTGGAGAGAAATATAACCTGTAACTACCAGAGCACAGGTGTCCCTGCCTTCCCACCGCAGCGCACTGTGTCTCCTCCCAACACTGCTCACTCCGCACTCACCTGGCTGGGTCCTTGCCACAATCTCTGGGGTGGATACTAGTGTATCCCCATACCACAGCTGAGCAAACTAAGGGAGGAGAAAGCTTCTTCCCCCAGATGAGAAAGCTAAAAATCAGCAAAGATTTTAGAGAGGAGGTAGCCACCAGGGGTGGGGGGGGCTTGGATGCTAAATAGATGAAGGGGCTTCCGGGCCTGAGCCAAGATGGGGATTTTTTCTCACTCCTCTGCAGGGCTCTGCTGCAGAACAATGCCTAATCCACAACCCCCAAGACAGCTCCCATGGCCTGCAACAGCCCCTGCAATCTTGGATAGAGTTGACAGATAAAATACAGAACATCTAGTCAATTTTGAATTTCAGATCATGAATAAGTCATACCTATACTAAAAAACTGGGGCTGGGCATAGTGGCTAACACCTGTAATCCCAGCACTTTGGGAGGCTGAAGCAGGAGGATCGCTTGAGCTCATGAGTTTGAGACCAGCCTGGGTAAGATGGCCACCCCACCCCCACCCATGTTAAAATAAGAAAAATTATCTGGGCACAGTAGTGTGTGCCTGTAGTCCCAGCTAATCAGGAGGCTGAGGCTGGAGGATCCCTTGAGCCCAGGAGTTTGAGGCAGCAGTGAGCTATGATTGTGCCACTGCACTCCAGCCTAGGACAAAGCTAGACTGTCTTAAAAAAAAAAAAGGACATGATTATACTCGATTATTCATTGTTTATCTGAAATTCAAATTTGACTGAGCATCCTGTATTTTGATTTGCTAAAACTAGCAACGTTACCCTGATGTGGCAACCAGTGGGAACCCAGACCCCAGAAAAAGAAAAACAACACCCTTTATAACTGTAGGCCATGCACGCACCGGCACACACTGAGATCAGTGGCTGAAAGGAAGGGATTCTGTGCTTTGTAAAAGTACTTTGCCAGGCTTGGTGTCTCACGCCTGTAATTCCACCACTTTGGGAGGCCGAGGCAGGTGGATCGCCTGAGGTCAGGAGTTCAAGACCAGCCCAATCAACATGCTGAAACCCTGTCTCTACTAAAAATACAAAAATTAGCTGGGCATGGTGGTGCATGCCTGTAATCCCAGCTACTTGGGAGGCTGAGGCAGGAGATTTGTTTGAAAGGCTGAGGCGGAGGTTGCAATGAGCCAAGATTGTGCCACTACACTCCAGCCTGGGCAACAGAGTGAGAATCTGTCTCAAAACAAACAAAAAAAGTACTTTGTCATATAATTATTTTAATTATATGTACAGTTTATTAAAAGTAACTCAATATACCAAAAAAAAAAAAAAAAAATAGACACAGGACACAACCTGTCAGAAACCACTGTGGCATGAAGTGGAGCCAGAACTGGCCTGGCCCAGGCCTGTAGAGAGACCTCTCTTCTCGGCAGTGATTAGAAGTCCCTGGTGGGGAGGAGGGTCACTGTGAGCAGCCTAGCCCTCCCTCCTGTAAGGATGGAGCCCTAGGTTCGTGCTGCAGGTACATCTCACTTGGAAAAAGGACAATAACAAAAAACGTTTTTAAGTGGGAGAAAACAAACAAAAAAAAGGCAACATGGGCAACACTCGCTGAGCACCCAGGGTGAACTGGCATTTTACACCCCTTTCCCCTTTGATTATTAGGACAGGAAGATCATGTAATCATCTACATTTTATGGGCCATGAAACTGAGTCTCGAAAAGGTTATTAACCAATGCGACACGGCCGCCAAGGCAGAACAAGGGTTCTAGCCTGGATTAGGTCCCATTCACCAGACCACAGAGGTTCTGTTTCTCACACAATGACACACAACCACACGCCTGCAGACAAGGACACAACAGCTTAGATGTACATTCACAAATAGAGCTACTCTTCCCGGGGAAGCTTGAGGCCTAGAACTGTGTTGCTTCCCTAACCCCTGACGCCGCTTTCAGGGGTTAGAGATCCTAATTCATCCCTTCCTACTTCCTGAGAACCCACGGAAACGGCCCCTGAGAACTACAACTCCCAGCACACGCAACACTCTCACCACCAAAGGGACCGGTTCGTGCGCATAGCCTCCTGGGGCTTGTAGTTCTAGCCAGAACCCCGTTCGGCTCTTCCCC